CACCTACACAGCCATTATCCAGATACCTTCTCTCTATACTCAATCCTCTGATAAACAATACAGAATCATACATACAAAATTCACAACATTTTCTAGAAAAACTATCAGAAATTGACATAAATCCCAATCACATTTTAGTTAGTTTCGATATTGTTAGCTTATTCACAAACGTTCCCATAGACAAAACACTCAACATAGTTAAACATAAATTAGAACACGACAATAGACTTATTGAACGCACTAACCTTGCAGTAAATATTATTTTAGAATTACTAACATTTTGTGTAAAAACAACATATTTTCAATACAATGACGAATATTACCAACAAGTTTCTGGTATGGCAATGGGCTCACCTTTATCACCTTTCTTAAGTAATATTTTTATGGAAGATTTCGAAATTAATAGTATTGAAAATTATAACTTAAAACCCATTATTTGGTGGCGTTACATAGACGACATATTTTCAATTTACACTCACAATGAAGACGACCTTAATAACTTTCTTCAACACTAAATTCACAAGAACCAACTATACAATTTACAATAGAAAAAGAACTAAATCACCAACTACCTTTCTTAGACATACTTATCACAAAAGACATAGACAACTTTGAAACTACAATATACAGAAAACCAACACACAAACAGATATTTAAACTTCTATTCAAATCACCCAATCATGATTAAAACTGGTGTAGTTAAAAGCCTATAGGACAGAGCCAAAACAATATGCAACAATCACAATACTTTCACTAAAGAAAAACAAAACATTAAAAATATACTAAAGCAAAACGATTACCCTGAACAATTCATAAACAAATGCATCACAAACTTCGAAAATCCAAAACCTAAACAAAACGCAGACCCACCAATAGCCAATCTTTACTTACCATATATACCAGGCATGTCAGACAAAATAAAACGAATCAGTAAAGACTACAATATACGTACAATTTTCAAAACACATAACACAATAAGATCACAAATTACAAAAACAAAACCAAATAATGAGACTATTCGTACTAAAAACGTAATTTATAAAATTCCATGTGATCAATGTGATAAATTCTATATTGGGGACTTTAACAAATCAAACATATGCCAACATGCTTTTGACAATAATCATCAAATCAACTGGAATGCTTCTAGCATTCTGGCAAAGGAAGCTTTTTCAAAAACACGTAACATCAAAGAGAGCGCATTAATTTTATTAAATAAAGACGAATGTGTTGCTTCATGCTCAACATCATTTAGTAATACGTGGCTTCCTTTGCTTGAATCAGAAGTAAACCAAGGTAAATTGAAAATTAATTAAAAATCTCACCTTTAGAAAATACCACCATTTCCTAGATATGATTATTGTCAAAAGTTTGACACGACATTAGTCAAATTTGTAATTTTTGCTTGATAACTCAAATTCGAGTATTCAAACAAATTTACGAAAAAACCGAACAATTTTCTGTCTTTTTTATTTTTTAGGTTTTCAATCCCCCAAGCTTCGACAACGGTAGCAGATTTGGTACCGCAACGTCAGCAAAAAATCCAGAACTCATACCACCGAGCCTAATCAAGTATTATTTTATTAAAATAATAAAACTCGATTCGTTTATAAAAAAGTCGAGTAATTTATTTTATAAAAATAATCTGATAGGTAAAATTGCTCTAATCAGAGAGCTTGTAGTAATTCGTATCAGAATCAAGAAACTTCTGGTATTAATTTCAATTGATGTGTAAGTCCCAAAAAATGCAAGGTAATATTATAAATCCACCTCAAACATACAGACATTTGTTACAAAGTGCTTCTACTCCGTATGCAACACGCTATTTTTTCTCCAAACGAATGGGGTAAGCTCGGAGGCAACTGAATGGTTAAGCGGCAGTAAAAGTACGAGTGGCACTAAAAGTACTTTTGCTGCCGCTCCAGCGGCACTAACAGTACTTCTACTGCCGCTACGGTTGCCTAGCAGCATATAAATTAAATTTCTACCACCTCGACAGGTGTTAACCCGCTAAATTTGCCTACCAGCATAGAAATTAAATTTTTAACATCTTGACAAGTGCTGACAAAGTGACGTTTTTTTGACGTTTGGAGAAAAAAAATATTTTTCTCCAAACGTCAAAAAAACATCACTTTGTCAACACCTGTCAAGATGGTAGAAATTCAATTTCTATGTTGCTAAGCAAATCCAGGAGGTTAACACCTGCCGAGGTGGTAGAAATTTAATTTTTCTCCAAACGTCAAAAAAACGTCACTTTGTTAACCCCTGTCAAGATGTCAGAAATTTAATTTCTATGCTGGTAGGCAAATCCAGCAGGTTAACACCTGTCGAGGTGGTAGAAATTTAATTTCTATGCTGCTTGGCAACCCCAGCGGCAGCAAAAGTACTTTTAGTGCCGCTCGTACTTTTACTGCTGCTCAACCATTCAGTTACCCCCGAGCTTACCCCATTCGTTTGGAGAAAAAATAGTGTGTTGCATACGGAGTAGAAGCACTTTTTTGTGCTTCAGCAGTATTGCAAGCGAACTGAACCGAATATAACGAACATAGGTGTTGTATAAGTAGATATACAACAAGAGTTCTAGACCAAACTTGTCAGTCGTTGTGGGGCCTTCGGGCTCGCAAACCTACTGCTTCAGCACAAAAAAAATAAAGCTTCTACTCCTAATACAACAATATACTATTCTATGCTGCTTGGCAACCCCAGCGGCAGCAAAACTACTTTTGGTGCCGCTGGAGCGGCAGTAAAAGTACTTTTAGTGCCGCTCGTACTTTTACTGCCGCTCAACCATCCAGTTACCCCCGAGCTTACCACATTCGTTTGGAGAAAAAATAGCGTGTTGCATACGGAGTAGAAGCACTTTTTTGTGCTTCAGCAGTATTGCAAGCCTCACTACGTTCGGCTCGCAAACCCACTGCTTCAGCACAAAAAAGTAAAGCTTCTACTCCTAATACAACAATATACTATTTTTACTTTTTAGTTCAATTTACTATAAAAGCGTGTTTTTTAGTTTTTTTAAAACATTTATTTTTCACTTTTTAGTTCGATGTATTAAAAGCGTGTCAGCCCCAGAGATTTCCAGACTTTTCCAGACATTATCCAGACTTATTCAGAGCTTTCCAGAGTTTTCCAGATTTCATCCAGATTTATCCAGACTTGTACAGACTGATCCGGATTCTGGAAAATGATCCCCAGGTCTTTTGGAACCTTTTCCGACCCTTTCAAGAAATTTCCAGGCATTTTCCAGACGTTTACAGAGATTTCCAGACATTATCCAGACTTATCAAGAGCTTTCTAGAGTTTTCCAGACTTCATCCAGATAAATCCAGCCTTGTTCAGACTGATCCGGATTCTGGAAAATGATCCCCAGGTCTTTTAAGATCTTTTTCAGAAATTTTCCAACCCTTCCCAGAAATTTCCAAGTCTTTTCCAGACGTTTCCAGACTTTTCCAGGCAATATCCAGACTTTTCCAGAGTTTTCCAGAGTTTTACAGACTTTATCCAGACCTTATCCAGAGCTTTCCAGAGTTTTCCGGACTTCATCCAGATTAATCCAGACTTGTTCAGACTGATCCGGATTCTGGAAAATGATCCCCAGGTCTTTTGGGATCTTTTTCAGAATTTTTCCAACCCTTTCCAGAAATTTCCAAGTCTTTTACAGACGTTTCCAGACTTTTCCAGACAATATCCAGACTTATCCAGAGTTTTCCAGAGTTTTACAGACTTTATCCAGATTTATCCAGACCTTATCCAGACTTGTACAGACTGATCCGGATTCTGGAAAATGATCTTCAGGTCTTTTGGGACCTTTGGCAGAATTTTTCCGACCCGAAAAGTTTATATATTTTCTATTTATACAGCAAATTAGACGTAGCAACTAGGTATTCAGTAGCAACAGCAACTGTATTATTTTATGAATGTCTATTATATGATTTATTGTAACTTTTGTTTTTTTTACATATCATCTAATAGTCTAAGAGCCAGTGATTTTTTTTCCGTAAAAAGTTGCCGATGGACAATTTCTTGCTTAAACGATGTAGTAATATGCCCCGTGATCGAAAACCATATTCTGGCAGCATGTAGTGGGGAAGTTTGGCGTAGGCGTAATTAATTAGTCATTAAAAAATTCACGAAATTCGAAATACTTGCCGATGGTCATTTTTTGCGGCATATCATTCAAAAATGCGCCATTTAGAAGGCTGTAATAATGCCAGACGGTTTTCGCGGGTTTAAACCCTTGCCAGACGCCCTCAAAGTGCAAAAAAAATTAAATTTTCGAAAAACTTGCCGAAACGTGCTTTTTTTTAAAAGTTAAAGACAAAATAATTGTGCATCGAACGCACCTAGTTCCAGACAGTTCAAACGAGGAATAATCCTTGCCAGGCGACGCTGAAGTTACGATTTTTTACGTGGTGTTGGTGTTTTTTCTCACTTAAATTGATTAAACCAGGTTGAACCTATTTCAAAACATCACTTTTTCGCGTTGAACGAATGACGTCATAACTGGTTTGAAAATATTTTGGAACGATATTTCGTATCGGTTCAAAAACAAACGCCCGCGCAATAGGTTAGGAAAGTTGACAGATTGTTGTTTATGTTTATACTTTGTGTTATGTCAAAAAAAAATAATCCTAGGTTATGTATGGTTAATAAGGGATTCTTCTGGTTTGAAAAGCTCATTTTTTCTCTCGAATGAAAGTGATGACGTCATTTTTAAACAGGTTCAAAACAGATTTTAAAAACATTTCGAACTGCTGGGGTCAAGAAAAAACACTTTTTTAAAATAATATAATAAGAACAATCCAGTTGAGGACTGCGACTGACGTCACAAGCAATCACGTGCGTTATGGGATTCGGCGATCCTATTAGAGTCTAAGATCCTTGACTCGACTGACACATGACACATTGCGCTCGCGCGCGATTGCCGCAGTCGGGAAAAATCGAGAAAATTTGTTCGATTTGAACGTTTGTAAATGCGAGTTGTATTTTTCGTGTAAACCATGGCTACAAATACTCGAATTTGTTTTTTGTGTGATAAAAAAAATGACAAAATAGTGCTCTTCACAAACGATAAATTAGTAAAATGTCGAGAAGTGTTAAAAGTGCGAATAAAAAATAAGTTTAAGTACAGCGACGTGCAATTACCAGTAGAAGTGAATGCAACACATGGATACCACGCTCCGCGTTATAGAGCATTCACAGCGGTAGCTACAAAATATTTCACCCAACAAATGTGCTCAACCGAGAGCGCCTTTTCAACGCTATCTGCGCAGAAAAAATCAATCCATATATTGATGTCGCCTACAGCATCAACATCCGACAATGCTTCCTGTAACATACCTGATTATGGTGTTGTCTCCATGTCACCGATGTCGTTGAATACTATCGAGTTTTCTGAGAAGCCTACCGATGCATCAACATCAACAATATCAACTGTTGACAAACAATCCAATGTCTCGATCTCACAAAAATCAGCAATTAACCCTGAACTATCTCACGCTTCATCATCAACGTCGGCTGGTACATCACCGTCTGTTCAAACTATTATTTTGGATTTATCAATTGATAATAGCGGAAAGTTATGTATATTTTGCAATAAAAATTCAAAGAAGGTGAATGGAGTTGTACAGAAATTGATAGCTGTAAGTACGGAACAGATTGTTGGGACTTTGCAACAACGTGCCTTAGATCTAGATGATCAAGATCTGTTAAATGGACTTCAAGACAAAAATTTGGTATATCATGTAGTCTGTGAACGAACGTACAAGTCCAATGACAGAACTGTGACAGAAAAAGGTAATACAAATTGGCATAAAACTCGAGAAATTCGTTAGTTAGCCCGCGAAAAGATATATTCATTACTAGAGGACTCCGTTGTGATGAACAATCGCTCATTTTTGTTATCTTCATTGTGCAACATGTACAATAACAATGTGAAAAAACTATGCGCAGGTCAATCCGTAACGTTCAGCCATGAAGTCGAGCCGCGTCACTTTGAAACTTCAGTTTTAACACCACTAATCAAGGACAAAAAAATCAAAATAATTATGAAGAACAAAAAAAAAGTCATTGTACCCTATGATGGATTTATACTTGGGGATGAAGAATTTGCTAATTTGGCTACACAAGATTTGTTACATAGAGCAGCAATTATTTTACGCGAACAAATATTGAGCATTCAAAGAAAAAAGTTGCCGAAGAAGTTGTATGCTAAAGATTTAATTGATGGTGAGTGTGATATTCCTGATGAGCTTGAGGATTTTTTCCAAACGTTGCTAGCAGATCCAGGGAAAAAGCGTCGTAAAACTGGCGCGGATTGCTTGCGAAAATCAAAATCTTTTGCGGAAGACATCATCTATGCAGTCCACAATGGCAAAATAAAGACTGCAAAGCACATCACACTGGGAATGACAATAAAAAGTCTAACAAATAGTCGCAAAGTTATTAACATTTTGAATCGTTACGGACATATTTGCAGCTATAATACGCTCGAAGAATTCGAAACGGAAGTAACTATTATCTCAGTTGAACGCTCCAAGATTTGTCCTGATGACATTATACTGTCTCCACATCTATGTACAGGTGTTGCATTCAATAACTTTGATCGATTTGTGGACACACGCACCGGAAAAGATACTCTCCACGACACCGTGGGCATAATATATCAAAATATCGATCAGCAAAATAACGACAGCGACGTTGAATTAGGCATTGAGAGCGAACCAAGATACGAATTAGGTGACAAGCGGAGAAGAACTCTTGATGCGGTAACTGCTGAGCTGGAGCCATATGTCAAAAAACCGCGAATGACTGACCGCTTGCTGCCAATGACTGATGATCGCCATTCCTTAGTACCTATAGTTGAACAAGATACTGCGAACCGCTTAGACTACATTTGGATGCTCTCACACGCCGCAGAAATCCCTGAAACGCCAATGTGGGTGGGCTTTAATAGCAAAATATTTGGGGATAACAGTTTACAGCAAAGAATTTCGTATCTGACGCCGATTAATTTATCACCAACGGAGCTTGCTGTTGTATTGGAGACCATGTCACAAAGCCAAAAAATTGCCGCGGAGTGTCAGCAAACGTATATACAAGTTACATATGACTTAGCCACTGCCAAATGCGCTCTCGAAATACAAGTCACGGAAAAACCAAGATTTGATAATCTCTTCATTCATTTGGGAGGCTTTCACATCATGATGGCGTACTTCAAAGCCATTGGCAAATTTATCGATGAATGTGGTCTCTCCTATATTATGGTAACAAGCAACATATTGGCAAGCGGCTCAATCAATGGATTTATTTCTGGCAAACATTTTAATCGATGCAAGCGTTTACATCCGCAAATGGCGTTGGCATTCCAAATTTTACACTATAGAGCGTTTCTAGCACGAGAAAATATTGAAATTGGCGAGGAAGTGAAAGCGGAACTTCAGAACTACCAAAAAAAAATAATTTCTATGGAAGATGAGGATTCTGTTACTGCTCAATTGCTGAAAAAATACAAAGATTATGAAGAAGCCACAATGATCGGAGTGTACGGAAAAACTGCACAATTTTATTTAACCTATGTCCAGCTCGTCTCGTATTATTTAATGTTGTCGCGAAGTATTCGTTCTGGAAATTTCGGTTTGTATGTGTCAACTTTGCCAAAACTCGCCAATTTGTTTTTCATTTTCAACCAACCTAATTACGCTCGATGGCTGGTGAAATACCACGATAACTTGCTACAAATAGACGAAACACATCCAGGGTTGAGAACTGACTTCGAGAATGGTTACTTTGGTATCAAACGAACACAAAAGCCATTTTCAAGGCAACCAGTAGACATCACACTTGAACAAACAGTTAATGCTGATGCTGGAAAACGATTGGCAGGTATTGCGCATTTTTCAGACTCCATTGGTGCTCGTCAACGTTGGGCAAGAAGTCACGGCATTCGTACTTCAATTATATCCTACACTTGTGACCAAGCAGGATTGCAAAAAATCCAAGATATCTCAGCGGATCTCGAGCCACGACGAATATCCCTTAGGTCTCAACAACTTCGTGATTTTATAACAGTGCTCGAGAACAATATGAATCCATTCCAATCTGAGTTTGACAATAATTCGTTATACAACATCGCCACAGGAAAGGCAGCCTCTCGTCCCGTCACAGATTTTCTATTAGACGTCCAAAAAAATGGCGAACAACAACGTGAAACTTTCGTCAACGAGTGTGCTGTGGATGGTGCAAGATTTGGCCGCGCATTGAAACGTAATAAAATCTTAAATTTTGCGTCGATGGCTGAAAAAAAAAAGTGTTAAAGTCGCTGGAAAAGTGCATGAGTTGCAGATGCAACGTGATTTATTTGGTCGAATGATTGGTTTATCAATGCAGCAGAAAATAGACATTGCAAAAATTTTGTTCTACCCACTAACGCCTGTTCCAATGTCGCTGTGTCATTTGGACGGAAAAATTTGCAAGACTAATAAGTCAGTGTTAATAAAACTTTTGGAAGACAAAATTACACAGCCCGTTAAATCGCCATTAGAATATGATGTTGTCATCATCGATGGAGTTTTTTTGATTCATACAATAAGAGATGTTCCCAAAACTTTTGGAAAAATTTCCCTGAAAATTTTGCAAATGATAACACGATATAAAGCGAAAAGGATCGACATAATATTGTAACGTTTTCAATTTCTTGGCTAATAAGCTACCTTGTTTTGCTTTAGTAGATATGATTCCGTATAGAACTATAAAGGAATAAATGAAGAAACAACTATCTTTTCTGTGCCCAGATTTTGTTACCTTGAGTATTGCCTTCTACTAGAAGTTTTTTTTGGTTCAGGTTTGCAAGTTTGGTTAATTGATCTGGGAAGGTTTGATTCAGTACGGCAGGGCCCGCTGTTATTGATTAGAATCTTAGGAAAAGGAGTTAGTACCATCATCATCCCTGTTTGCAAATCCAATCAATAATCTGAGGTTATGATAATAATTGTTGTTTACTCCTTGACTTTTCATTTCCATCATGTCATTGAACAGCTGTTTTGTCTAGGCGTTTTCTTTAGACCTGTTCTACCTTTTGATATATGTTCTATAGGCACTTTTCAACATTCACCAGTCATTTTTTTACACAACCGATTCTCAGTTCGTACTTTTGGGGTGAAACTGAACACGTCCATTTCTATAATTTTCTTCAATGTCAAAATTAGAAGTTTGACAGATGAAAGTCTTCTTCCGAAATCTAAATTCTAAATGAAGAATCTGCCCTTTTGATCTGCGACCTCACGCTGAGTAGTCGTCCGGTCTCGAGCCTCGGCCCTAATTATTTTTGGGGCGAAACTTTTTGGAATTTTGTGCCAGGGAGCTCAAGTTTTAGACTAATTTCTTGCTGATAATTCTCTAGAGTCGTCCCTTGGTCATTTTTGGATTCTGTTTCGGACTTTTCCGAGCAGCGTTTGGAAGTTTAAGACTTCACCTTTGGTCTAGAGTATCCCTCAATTTGAGGTAAGATTATTTCTAATATTTGGGGCTCGATTTATTTTTTGATACGAACATCGTTATAGGGTCCTAGTCTCAGGCTAGAGTTGGACAATTCTACTCCTGGTCTCGGGCTATAGTTGGACACTCCTAGTCTCAGGCTATAGTTGGACAATCCTACTCTTAGGCTATCGTTGGACAATCCTAGTGCTAGGCTGTAGCTAGACAGTCTTAGGCTATAGTTGGACAGCTCCTAGAAAGAGATTCTAGACTAGATCTAGATTGCTCTTAGTTGGCTTGGTAGCCTCCCTTCAGCAACCCTCTTGGTACCGCTCTGCTAGAACCACATTGAGTTCTACGTAAAACAGATACCACGTGGATAGGACTCATGACTATGACTCACTTACCATACCTTAGCCTATCTATAGTGAGACCAAACCTGTAGATAATCTCACTTTGGAAACTTCTGGATTTTCACATACATTTCACTTGTATACATGTAAGTTGCACCTTTACTATTTAGGCAAATCTTATATAAATCATCTGACACCGAATTACGTCGGTAAGTGCTCCTCAAATAAAATTCTAGAATTTTACCCTGAGGTTGCCCAAAGAATAACTTTCACCTTTCTGTGTTTAATTTGCCTGTTGGTAAAGTGTAACTCATACTGTTCTTTTAATCTTTCACAAGTGTTAATAAACAGTTAAAACTGTTTATTTTAAATTCATATATTCATTATTTACATTTTTTTTATTTATTCAAACATTCACAAATTAGGTACAAGCCTAATCCTAAACACCTTCGTAATAACTTCGTGGCTACTTATTGGCGCAATAGTTAAGTCCTAATTACTTGGTAGATACACTTTTTGGCGCCTTATTATTATTGTTATTATTTTTTAATAAAGAAAGCCAGATACATTATTGTACCTAATTAGTTGTTTTATTGTTAAGCGCTCCAATTGTACAAGTTTTGTTTATAACATCATTAGGTTATCTTCCTAGTTAAGTCACAATTAACTTGGTGGCGCCCAAAGGTAAGATGTATACAAGGAACCCATAGACCCATGGCCTCCGGACTGATGCTGACTAGCCGTATGCAGTATAATTAGGCAATTGCCAAAATAAGTACGTTATAATATTCGATAGATACTTCCCCTCATCAATTAAAGAGATTGAGAGATCTCGCAGAGACGAATTCTCAACGACTGAATACATTATTGCAGGTCTAGATCAAGCAAGAGGCGTGGAATTTTCAAGGGAGATGAGCAATATCAAGTTTAAGGAGGCATTAGTTAAATTCTTGAGTATGCATTGGAGTAGTACAGAGGCAACACCGTTCATTGGAAACAAAATCATCAATTTAAACTTCGATTTATGCTATCGATTTGAGGTGATCAATGGAGAAGTGGTGAAAACAACTGATGATCAACTGATATGTGAAGGATATGAAGAGGCTGACACCAAAATTGTGTACCACATCTGCAAGCTAGATACGGGCTCTCGGATACTTATAAAAGCCAATGACACTGACATCCTCATAATCATGCTGGGCAACATGAAACACATTAAAGGTGAGACACATATTTGGATGCAATGTGGTACTGGGAATAATATACGTGACATTGACATCACGACATTGTATTCGATTCTCGGAGAGTCAGTATCGCAGGCTCTTCCAGGATTGCATGCCTTTACAGGCTGCGATTATAATCCGGCAAGGGCAAAAATAGGCCGTTCAAATTGTTACTGACATCTGATGAATACCAGAGAGCGTTCATTCAATTAGGTACTTTGATGTCGTCCTCTGAAAGAAGTGCAGTCTTTCAAACCCTGGAACGATTTGTCTGCCACATGTATAGTGTCGAGCATGTAAAGGAAGTGAACGCTGCAAGATATGATTTTTTTTTGAAAGCCTTTCATACTCCAGAAAAAAAATGAAAACTTTTACGTAAAATGCAAAAGTTTTGACGCAGCATGCATACCACCCTGTAGGAGCGAACTCGAACAACATCTACGGAGGTCGCACTATATTAGCATTTTATGGCGATATGCACACATGCAATAGCCCACGAGTTTACTTCCGGTTGGACTTGGCTGGATTCAGAATAAGGATTTATTAGACTTTTGCTGGTTTGAGGGTGAGCAACTTCCTCAATTGATCTCCGACGTTATCATTACTGAATGTATTGAAGGTAAACGTACCTTTTTTAATTTTTGAATCTAGATAAGTAACAAATTTATTTTTCAGACGAACACGTCGAAGATCCGACAAAGGAAATAGAAGACGATAAGGAAATTCACCGCGATTCAGATGGCGATGAAGATGACGAAGAAGATGAGATCATAAATGCTGATGAATCCAGTGATTTTTGAGTCAAATACTTCAGGATAAAAAATTAATTTTTTCTCTTTTCCAATAAATTATTAAATATTGGTAATACAGCCAATTATTATTGTATTCAGAAAAACTCTTTTTCGTGTAAAAACTTTCGCAATAGTTATTCTTTTTTCACATTTCAATAAAATAAAAAATGGATAATTTACCTATATTTGATTTTATCTCATTGTTCACTATTCACCAATTAATTAAAAGAAATGAAATATACACGGCTGGCAAGTAAACATCTTACATGCCAATTTTAATGCGATATAATGAAATATCTAGAGAAAGTCTAAAGTTGAATAGAGAACGAAAACGATTTCCCCTGTTTCACCTCTAGCATTTCCAGTTCTTTTTGCTGGAGGTGGAACAGGGGAAATCGTTTTCGTTCTCTATTTAACCTTAGACTTTTTCTGAACATTTCATTCTATTGCATTAAAATTGGCATGCAAGATGTTTACTTGCCACGCGTGAATATTAACAATGATATTACGCACGCTTCTGTCTCACTTACGGCTTGTCTTTACCTCTCACTCACTCTCGTTCGGGAACCCTAACCTGTGGTCACGGCGTACTTTCACCTCCTAGGCGCGGCATATGTGTGTGCGCGCTTCACAGACGCGTAAAATACCGACCTTTCACGTCGTCTGGCAAGGAATAATCCTCGTCAAAACCGTCTTGCACTAGGTGCGTTCTATTTGCAATTTTATTTTCTTTAATTTAAAAAAAAAACAGGTTTTGGCAAGTATTTCGATTTTTGTCTATTTTTTTTGTACTTTGAGAGCGTCTGGCAAGGCTTTAAACCCGCGAAAACCGTCTGGCATTATTACAGTCTTGTTAATGGAACATAATTGAATGATATGCCGCAAAAAAGGACCATCGGCAAGTATTTCGAATTTCATGAATTTTTTAATGACTAATTAATTACGCCTACGCCAAACTTCCCCACTACATGCTGCCAGACTATGGTTTTCGATCACGGGGCATAATACTACATCGTTTAAGCAAGAAATTGTCCATCGGCAACTTTTTACGCGAAAAATTCACTGGCTCTTAGACTATAATATGTCGATGTGAAAAATTCTAAAACCGCGGCGCCAGTTAGTCTATCATCTTACAAGGTAAAATCACAGAAAATATTAAAGGCCCGAGAAGATCGCGCAACGCTGTTAAAATTTCTTTGCCGAAAAGCTAGCGCGAATATAAATTATTTCAATTTATAACACCGGAGCAGCGCCTCTAGCGGTCTGCCGTCGCCCATAAGAGTAGGTTTTCTATAGTTAACTATAATATTCTTTGGGTTTGTCCAGGTAGCAATATTGTCAGCTGAATAACGAATTTATTGTCGAATGTTTGAAGAGGTTTCAGGATTACCGGATAATACTTTTACCTGTTACGAAACGCGTTACGCAGAAACACTACGACTCCGAAGGAGGAGTGGTGTTGCTGGTAACGCGTTGAGTGTCAGGTAAAAGTATTCGGTAATCCTGAAACATCGAGTGGTATTCAAGAGGTTATACAACGAACTAAACTTTAATACTTTAAAATTTAAAAAAATTCTACAATAGAATTTGCTATAAATGCCATTAAGCGCGATAATCCCAGAAGGCTTATCACTTTTTAAGCCTCTCGTGTCATATGGGAATAATGTACAGTGAGTTGTATAACCGGTGTAATACACTCTAATGGAATAGTCGCTGAAAAACCATTATGTGGGTATTGTCCAGGTAGGAACAGGTAGGAGTTTTGTCATATATTATATCACAAGAGTTTAAATTTAATCGATTAAACTACTCAACATATTTTGAGCATGATTGTGCTTGGAAAATAGTTGAATGCACAATAACTTAATAAAAGCCCGAGACAGCCAAGCGGTCGAGGGATTTTATTTGAAAGTTATTGTGCATAAAACTATTTGCTAAAAAGCAAAATATTGCAAAAAATATTTGGATAGTTTAATCCATTTAAATTTATAAGGTCGAGTGATATATGGCTAGATTATTTCCTGAATAATTGGGTTTAAAGCCAGCAACAAAGAGTTCTATTTATGATAAAATGTCAGAATATTTCTATCAAAATTCTGTCAAAAAAGGTAAACAAAAATTTAATCGCGAATAAACAGGTCTTGTGCAATAATCACTTATTTAAGTAAACAAAATTTATTCAAAAAATGACGTTGTCTGATTCGTCTATTATGTCATGAATGAAATAATTAGTAGGAAACCGGCCGTTCCTATGAAATAGTCATATATTATATCACAAGACCTTTAAATTTAATCGATTAAACTATGCAACATATTTTGAGCATGATTTTGCTTGGAAAATAGTTGAATGCACAATAACTTGCCCGAGACCGCGAAGCGGTCGAGGACTTTTATTTAAAAGTTATTGTGCATGAAACTATTTGCCAAAAAGCAAAATTATGCAAAAAATATTTGGATAGTTTAATCCATTTAAATTTATAGGTCGAGTGGTATACGGCTAGATTATTTCCTGAATAATTAGGATTGAATTATTGGCGTCAATCCTATCCAAAGAGTTCTATTTATTATAAAATGTCAGAATATTTCTATCAAAATTCTGTCAAAAAAGGTAAACAAAAATTTAATCGCTGATAAACAAGGTCTTGTGAAATAATCACTTATTTAAACAAAATTCATTCAAAAAATGACGTTGTCTGATGGGTCTATTTTATAATGAATGAAATAGTCAGAGTAAAAGTAAAATCCTGCTATAAGGAATGAGAAGGGACTTTTATCACTTTTCAATTTTTCCGTTGGTCTTTTTTCAAATATTTCGGCTTTGAATCTCACAATAATTTACAGTAAGTAATGTCAGCTCTATTTGCTGACCATTCATATAAACTGCTTAATTCGCTTTTCTTTATTATAAATATCGCTGCCCGCCTAGAATAGTTAGTCAGTTGAATTGTAATTATATTTCTTATTTGAAACTTTGTAACGCGAACGCGAAAGTATTTCTCTATTGTAATTTAGTGAATAAATTGTTTTTTAAAAACTTGTTATCGGCCTACGTATTGATAACTGGCGCAGTCGTCCGGATTTTTTGTTTTTGGAACTGGTTTACGAACTTTTCGGAAATCGGACTAACCGGGAACTCGAATCTACACCCTTGTGTGAAAATCGTGTTAAGTGTTTGCGAGAAGTGTCGGAGTGGCTTTACGAAATCGAAAACCAAAGAACTGCCTTCAAGCAATCGGATTATTGGACCAAAATAGCCAATATTCGCGAGACCAGGATTAATTTGGAAGGATAAACATAGCCTACCAGAAATTCTTGGCCTTATAAATGTTGCTCTACGGAATAATCTTCATGTAAGTGCAATGTGCAATTTGTAATTTCTTTAATGTCTGATATTGATGAATTAACAGAAAGATTATTATCTCTATCTCTACCTTCAACTGACTCACCTTCTGATACAGAAGAGTATTAAAGAAATATTAATCAAACATTAAATAACAGTGCTGCAGTTACTGATACAAGCACTAATCAAAATAATTTAATTTTAAATAATATTAATACAATTAACAATATGGCTCAATTTAAACCTGAGTACTTAAATTGCGTACCACAATTCGATGGTAACCCTAACGATTTGAATAGATATTTGGCAGTATGCCAAAGTTTAATTGATAATTTCTATGATGCAAATCAACCAAACCATTTTCAAAATATTTACTTGATAAATTGCATCATCGGAAAACTAACTGGGAACGCAAAATTGATCCTAGGTACTGAAAATGTTACTACTTGGAATAATTTGAAACTAACTTTGAGCAGGCATTTCGCAGATCAAAGAGACGAGGCATGTTTAAACAGAGATCTCGTAATGTTGAGACAACAAAACTCAGAAAAGCCTAGTCAATATTATGACAGGGTTATGCATATTTTAAACCTGCTTTGTTCTTATGTAAATAGTTATGAAGTTGATCAAAATGCGAAAAATTTAAAGCGAAATTTATACAATGATCTTGCCCTTAAAACTTTCTTATCAGGCTTAAGGGAACCATTGGGAACAACAATTAGGTGTATGCGTCCCAAAGACCTTCCCGAAGCTTTACAGTTTGTCACACAGGCATATAATACACAATATTTTCAGAATATAGCTAAAACTCAACAAAAACATCCCTCACAGCACTTCAAACAAAATACACAACAAAGATACAATAATTCCAACACATTTAATGCTAATACACCAAATAACACGTTCAATCAACAAAAATTTCCATCTCAACCTATTCATGTGAGACCTGATTATAATAAAATACAACAAAAATTCCCAACTAACTCACAGGTCTTTAAAAATAAAAATCAGACCAATGTATTTAAACCAGGTCAAAACAAAAATTTTCCTAGACCTACCCCAATGTCTACAACGACAAGACAAACCTATTCTGCTACCAATGCACCACAAACTTCTGGTAATAACTATTTCCAAGTTACGCAACCACGAAACTTTATTTCAGAAGAATTATATAATACAAATACGACGAATGTCACTGACCTTTCTTACACCGAAAATGATCAAGAATCATATTATTATGAGACCGAAGTTGACCCTCAACAAAGTTACAATTATTCCGATAATTATAACGATTCAAATAATGAATTCCAAACCACTGAACTCGTAGAATATGACACAGCTGGTTCTTCATTTTCAGGAAATTCAGTCAACCAACCCTGCACCCTAGAATCACCTGAAATAATTTCATTCAATAACGTCAACGCAAGTGAGCTCTCCTATATCGTCTTTCCTGAATGCAATCTCAAATTTCTCATAGATAGTGGCTCTACCAAGTCGTTCATAGACCCCGACTTAGCTCAAAAATTCTTTCCAAATCACATAAGCTATGAGCCATTCATCGTTTCAACTGTTTTCCAACAATCAGCACATCAATACAGTGCTCAAATTCCCGCTTCAAAAATTTTTAATCTACCTAATAGGAAACCTTTGAAATTTTATTTATTTAAATTTCATAACATCTTGGACGGCCTTATAGGACTTGATAATCTAAAAATGTTACAAGCTAGCATAAACTATGAA